TTTGGAATCAATCACTTATGATTTTCATTTTCACTGCTACCCTAGGGAGCCACCTTGGGCTCCATTTACTTGTGCCCAACTTTAATTAACACTTCTTTTCAACTATAAACCCACATCTTTTGACAAATTTTATTTTAAAAAAAAATTGCATAACTTTGATAATTAAATGATTGTTAAAATAATTTTTTTTAAAGTAAATCATAGAGATCCATACACTCCCTTATGTTTCACATTAATTAAGAAAATGAGGTGACTGAATAGTTTAAAAACACAAGTACATTTCAAATAAAGAAAAAAAAAAAAACTAATAATCATTATAGATAGTAGGCATCTCACTGTAATCTAACACAGTAATATTAGGTCTACAATCTAATCTCATAACATTCTTTCATAATCTTCGTACAACTCTCGACATGACAACTTGTTATTGGTTAACCTATAAATAGACAAATAGGACTCATACAAACAAAACTTATTTTACGAGTTGACTAATGACTAACTACCACGTTTGATTATGAACTCTCGCATTACTCAATCTAACAAAACCCTAATTCTAGATAAACTTCATACAAAGTTTTAACCAATTTTAATCTTTAGATATACCCCGCTTCATTCATTTAATTGTAGGTTGTTTAACGGAGCACGATAAGGTCACATCAAATAAGGGGACTTGCGGTGTGATTGTGTAAATGTTGGAAATTTTTACTAAAGTCAAAGCATTATAGTTGACTTTCTTGTTTGTCGGGTACTCTGACGAATCATGGTTCATCTCGAACTAAGTGAAGCCCAACCCAATTAAGCAATGTTTGGGCCTCTATTCTATGTCGTTAAGCATCTCCTCCAAGCTAGAGTGGTAGTCTCGATCAAGTTTGAGAATATTTTGTGATTGAAGTATGATAATTAGAGTCGGCACCGGCATCTCCTTTGGTGTCCCAGCTCTTGATGCCATCTGTCATACATATAATTATGTTAGAAGTTGACTACTAACTAATTAAAAATCTAGTCTTCAAATAACATCATTTAGAAATTTTCGGTTCGTTTGATTCATTATTATGATAGTTTTTAGAATAATCTTTTGAAAAAAGTTAAATTATACAGGTATTATGACGTAAGATTTAAAAATTAATAAAAATATCTCATATGTTTGTTTATTTACTAAACACCCCTATAATAAAATATTAAAAGTTAACAAAAACACCTCCAATCCACCAATTAAATACGGACAGCCAGCCACCACCGCCGGAGGGTGGTCGGAGTATTTTTGTAATTTCTAAAAAAGTATTTAGAGGTGTTTAGTTAAATTAACAAATTTAGAAGGTTTAAAAGAAATTGAAAAATATAGAATAATATTTTGGGAATAATGACATTTTAGGCTTCGTTTGGTTGCATTTTGGGAATATTACTTTTAGTATTCCCAAAAAAGTTAAACAGTAAAATACCAAAAAACTCACAATATTATTCAACTTTTTTTAAACCCCCTAAATTTGTTAATTTAATTAAATACCCATAAATATTTTTTAAAAATTGCAAAAACACCCCAACAATCCACATTTACCAGATTCCGGCCACCACTGTCAGAAAATGGCCGGAATCTGGTAGGATGGCGCACTACCGGCTAAATCTGGCCAGTAAATCCTACATCATAATACCTGCCCAATTCAACTTTTTTTTAACTTTTTTCAAAAAATTTTTCCCAAAAACATAAAATTGTGAACCAAACGGAGCTTTACTGTTTAACTTTTTTGGGAATACTAATAATAGTATTCCCAAAAGCAAAACAAACGAAGCCCGATATTCTATGTCCTTGTCTGACATACATGGTTGGTCATGAGGGAATTTTTTTTGGAGTTTTTAAGAAAGATGTGTAATATGAGATCAAAATAGAAAACTCACGCAAATATCAATCAAGTAAAAAGAAAGAAATATACGCACAATTTATCTTGGTTTATACAATTAACAGATTATGTCTAACTGATTTAATATTATTACAATATTGTCTTACTTCTCTTGTTACAATGAAAGTATTTTATCCTATGATTTGATATCACTCACATATAAGAAATAAAAAAGTTTATATACTACGTTTAAAGAGTAAAAATATAAATATTCTTATTCTTAAGCCCAAAACTCAATAATGAATTAATAACTTAAAAACATCCTATAACGACTATTAATTAAATAGGCCCAAATCACCTGCGGGCCTGAGGGCGTTACCCTCTGCACCCCGCACCCATCGACTGAGCAACGGGATCCCTAATTGTGTTTGCGTGACCTGTTATTGTTGAAGTCGTCAATAACTCCAACAAGATGGAGGTAACTTTTAAAAGGTTAACTTTCTACTTCGTAAGTGCTAACCAGGATTTTCACAGTTATTTTCTTTCTTGATGGATTTGATTTATATTTTTTTAGTTACTTTGACTACGTCACACTTATCAACCTTCATTGACAGGCTATATAGGTAAAAGATCATTTGCCAATTAACTCAGTTTAATCCTTCATGTTTGAAATAAATAAAAGCAAAATTATGGACTATATATGTGTGTTGTTGAGGCAGTAGATTTCCCATCTCCTTATAAGCTGCAAATCTTGCCCATGAAATCTGGTATTGGTTTCCTAGTGATCTGCATTCTCTCACAAAACTATAAATGTAAGTAGCCTGCCAATAGCTGCACAATTCGACCGATTGTTGATAGAAGAAATATTTCGTTAAGTAAAGAATGTTATATTTGTATATGAGACGGCTCTTGGTATAGTGTTAAAGAAATATGAACCTGTGAGTCCGACTTAGCCCAATCCAGACAACATATAGCTATCTATACAGCTATATTTATTTACAATATGTCTTTTCTGAACCGCCTCATTGATACAGAGTTGGTTGCAGTAATTATATCAGGTCCAGGGTACTTGTCTCTTTCATTATTTCCATCACTTAAATATAAAGCTAACTTAGGTTAGAAGTTACGATTAAAGAATTTTGTCATCCTGATGTGAATCTGCAGATATAATCAAATTAAATTGATTTAGCAACACATCTAGATCAATGACAACTGAGATTAGAAGAGATCGATGAGACGTGCATTCCTTTTACGATCCCACTTTATAAATGTGACAGAAATATAGATGCACACCATTTTAGGTGAAAGCAACTAGTTTTTTCCTGAATAATGATTAATTTAAACTGAGTCATGAGAATGTTTATCATCTTTGTGTAATTATCTTCCAGGAGATTATTGAATGATTTTTGCACCCTTGTCCCTCAAAGTCCCATCTCCATGATCTTCACATATCATAAATTAACAATACAAAGATGGATTTGATACATGGTTGGGATGACTTTAAACCTAACTCCCACCCCACTTCTTATTAATTAAGCAGAAATATCAATAAAGCAGATGGTCAAATATTACTTTAATCCAAAGATAAAATACTTTATAGATATATTTATCATCACATAGCTGCATTGACATAAAGAAAATATTCGTGAAATCATGAGGTAATTTGGAGATCAATATATATATACACATCAGCTATAGTCATGCGTGGATATGCGATTAAATAGAATAGAACCCTATCTACTCTGAAAAGACATCACCTGAACATACTTCTGTCTGATGTTCAGATAATTTTGTTTTTTCCAGGACATGTGTCAAAAAAATAATCATCTTGATAGAAAGATGAAAAGAGGTTGGTTGAATAGTTTTTCAGCTGGTAAGAGAACCAATGGGAACTGGGGCCGTGGAGATAACTTGGAATCAATTTGACAACTCTCAACTCTGTGATCATCCGTTTTCATGCCTACTGAATTCATTTCTGCTCCCTTGTCATATCACATATGAATGTGAATTCTTTCCATCAGAAAATTAAATACCATTATTAACCATATGTATCTCTTAAGAGATGAAATTTTAAGCAGTTTTCTAGTGTTTATTTTGCCAGCACCAGCACATAGTTACAAGATCGATGAATCTGACAATAACTGTACAATGTAATTTTTCTTTCGAACAAATTGATTTTGTAATTTCCCCTAGTTGTCCAGTTCTTGCAATGTTTATGGTTTGATATTAAAGGATACAAAATTATGACCAGTTTTCTTTATGTTATCATCACTTCAAAAGCTGTTGAACTACAATCTTCACAAAATAACAACAATTCCATTATCTGATAGGACACATGCATGAGGTGATTAGAGTTTGCATGCAATGAACATTCTTTACTGATAAAGAACATTGAAACAGTTGTGGTCGATTTCATTTTGGTACATACACATCCATCATGCATATTGAGGTCATAATGTGTCGACAATGGTAAGCATCTTATCTCACACACACCAATACACGAAAAAAAAAAAGATGAAAGTTTGTATAAATTAGTCTTACAGTCCTCACTGGTCCCACGATTAAACTAAAATTAGGTTTTCATGATTAAAAAAAAAAAGTAAATGAAAACCTGTGCTTGTTGTGCTCATAAAGAAGAACAAAGAATTTAAATAAAGGCCAGTAAAAGAAAATGTTTTTTTTTTTCCAAGAAAGTATACATAATTCTATTTTATTAAGAATGGTCTGCCAGCAATTATGGAGGTAGCATGCATACATATAATTTAGAAACAGAAGTTAAATACGGCTGCCACACAAGAACAAGACAAGTAAGGTCAGGTTCATCATTCATGTTATCTCCTGACCTCTACATCAATTATACATAAACCATACCCCTTTTTAATGAAGTTAGGTCTCCTGTCATATAAAGCTAAAGATTAAAAAAATAAGAAACACTTTAATAGCGACATCAATTTTTAATTTAAACACCAATAGGTAATCGAGGATTATAATTAAACAATATAATCAAACCCTCTTTGCCAATGGCTTCACGCTGTAAATTAAAATTCAAGAGAGACATTCAGCTTGCAAAGAATTTGTTGATAATTTACTTCAACTGGTATGTATATGTCAACTCTTATTCAAAGAAATGAAACTAAGGGAGCCTTGTTGTGGCCAGAATCACAGTGACTCAAACATCTAGTATATTATATATATGTATACAAACATTGGTACAATTCAATCTTACAGTATAACAATTGATCAAAAGGAAGAAAAAAAAAAAAAAAAACAAATTTCCAATATGCATATACAGAATCGAAAAACAGCTTTATGCTAAAAGTTTTGCAGAAATGGAACCCATATGTGCCAGATCTTAATATCACAATCCAAGCCCCCGCTATAAACCAGATAAGAAGTACCGGACTCGGAATTTTCTATTACATTATCTCTATCAACAACCGCGGTCAAGCACTTAACCGGCTTTTTGTGGCCTTCCAGAACCGCTAAACAAGTATAACTCTTCTCGTTTCCTCTTTTCCATATCCAAATTGTATTATCAGCCGACCCACTGCACACCAAATCTGAAACAACCGCTAAGCACAGGATCGCTTTATTATGCCCTCTAAGGGCACCCATCAACATCATATGTTCAGAGCCATTGCCTGTAATATTATAATCTCTCTCCCATACCAGAATTGACCGATCGCATGCACCGGAATACAGTACAGACCCATCAGAACTAAGCGCTAAAGCATTAACAGCTGACTTGTGTTTCTCTAAAGTAGCCATAAGTGAATGCTTTTTCTCCTCTGCATGCTTTTTCCATACCTTTATTTTCTTGTCCGCCGAACCTGTGTAAACAAACCCATCATGGGATACTACTAAAGCATTGATGGCGTCATCGTGAGCATTCTTGACTGATTCCAAACACCTGAAATTGGATGTTCGCCAGATTTTGAACGTTCGATCCCATGAAGCGGAATAGAGAAGAGAACCATCTCTTGAATTCGCAAGTGCCGATACAGTATCAACGTGATGTACCCACGTGCACTTCTTGTGTCTCCTCACCTCTACGTAATTGTTAGCGGAGAAGCATCGTATGAAACGGTCATTTAGTGTGGGAAGCATGGCTATGCATTCGTATCTTTTTACTAAAGTGTTGTTATCGATTTTCCATATGCGGATTTTGTGATCTTGGTGGGCACTAAAAAGCTTATCGCCCAAAACCACCAGGGACTTGACGGCGCCATTGCCAGTGGCTACTAAGTTATCAGTTGGAGTCTCCACAGAAGTGTCTCGGCTCCAAGCTCGAATCTCGCTGTTTGAAGAACCGCTGAAAAGGAATTTTCCGGCTAGAGCGAGGGAGGATACATAAGAGGAGTGGGCTTTGAGAGTGCCTAGGCAGTGGTGGTGGGTAGTGGGGGCTTGTTCCTGTTGTTGAAAGGGTGAGGTGAGGGAAGGAACGGACGGTAAACTTGGCTGAGAGGAGAGGGAGGGGATTGATGAATATGATTGAAGGCGATTAGAGTGAGATTGAGATTGAGATTCTCTGTTTGTGTGACTGTGGCAAGGCAAAGGACAAGGACATGGAAGAAGTCCCATTATTGCTAGAAAACTATTTGAGTTTAGTGGCATGACGCATTTTATAAGCATGACAGGTATAAAAGAGAAGAAGTATACAAAGTAATTAAACACTTCCAAAAATAATCTCATTCTCACCTATCATATAAGTATGCCCTTTGGATTATTTATTTATAACTGATTAAATTAAATACGAAGATATGAACCTTTTGGGTTTAGAGATTCAAAAGAAAAGATTATTTTCGTGTTGATTCCTCAAAAATAAGTTATTTTTACTGCCTTTCCAATAATTTGTCATCTTGGATTATTTTTTTATTAACTCAAGAGAAAAGGGTTTGATAATTAGCAATATTATATATGAACTATTAGAATCAATAGCCGTCTGCCGAACCCTTTACCGTTATTTTTATTTTTGAAGTTAGTGTACAAAATGAATGTGCCAGTCTATATGATTCATGGTACAAAAACTATGTAACGTATAAATGGAATCTTACTATAAATACAAATTAAAGGTCTACCAGTACATGAAATGTAATGAAGTTATACACAAAAATAATAAAATCAGGAACCATATTCAGTAGAAAAGTCCCTTAGAATAGTAAACAAAAGCTTACAACGCCAATTTTCTTGCCACATAAATACTGTAAACACTCTAATCCTTTATTTCTTCTATCTCTTATGTTGAATACATTAGATATTAATAATATATTATATTACTTAATAATATTTTTTTTTTGAGTCAAATTGTTACTTAATACCGCAACATAATTAATTAAGGTTAAAATTTCATGTTNTATCAACAACCGCGGTCAAGCACTTAACCGGCTTTTTGTGGCCTTCCAGAACCGCTAAACAAGTATAACTCTTCTCGTTTCCTCTTTTCCATATCCAAATTGTATTATCAGCCGACCCACTGCACACCAAATCTGAAACAACCGCTAAGCACAGGATCGCTTTATTATGCCCTCTAAGGGCACCCATCAATATCATATGTTCAGAGCCATTGCCTGTAATATTATAATCTCTCTCCCATACCAGAATTGACCGATCGCATGCACCGGAATACAGTACAGACCCATCAGAACTAAGCGCTAAAGCATTAACAGCTGACTTGTGTTTCTCTAAAGTAGCCATAAGTGAATGCTTTTTCTCCTCTGCATGCTTTTTCCATACCTTTATTTTCTTGTCCGCCGAACCTGTGTAAACAAACCCATCATGGGATACTACTAAAGCATTGATGGCGTCATCGTGAGCATTCTTGACTGATTCCAAACACCTGAAATTGGATGTTCGCCAGATTTTGAACGTTCGATCCCATGAAGCGGAATAGAGAAGAGAACCATCTCTTGAATTCGCAAGTGCCGATACAGTATCAACGTGATGTACCCACGTGCACTTCTTGTGTCTCCTCACCTCTACGTAATTGTTAGCGGAGAAGCATCGTATGAAACGGTCATTTAGTGTGGGAAGCATGGCTATGCATTCGTATCTTTTTACTAAAGTGTTGTTATCGATTTTCCATATGCGGATTTTGTGATCTTGGTGGGCACTAAAAAGCTTATCGCCCAAAACCACCAGGGACTTGACGGCGCCATTGCCAGTGGCTACTAAGTTATCAGTTGGAGTCTCCACAGAAGTGTCTCGGCTCCAAGCTCGAATCTCGCTGTTTGAAGAACCGCTGAAAAGGAATTTTCCGGCTAGAGCGAGGGAGGATACATAAGAGGAGTGGGCTTTGAGAGTGCCTAGGCAGTGGTGGTGGGTAGTGGGGGCTTGTTCCTGTTGTTGAAAGGGTGAGGTGAGGGAAGGAACGGACGGTAAACTTGGCTGAGAGGAGAGGGAGGGGATTGATGAATATGATTGAAGGCGATTAGAGTGAGATTGAGATTGAGATTCTCTGTTTGTGTGACTGTGGCAAGGCAAAGGACAAGGACATGGAAGAAGTCCCATTATTGCTAGAAAACTATTTGAGTTTAGTGGCATGACGCATTTTATAAGCATGACAGGTATAAAAGAGAAGAAGTATACAAAGTAATTAAACACTTCCAAAAATAATCTCATTCTCACCTATCATATAAGTATGCCCTTTGGATTATTTATTTATAACTGATTAAATTAAATACGAAGATATGAACCTTTTGGGTTTAGAGATTCAAAAGAAAAGATTATTTTCGTGTTGATTCCTCAAAAATAAGTTATTTTTACTGCCTTTCCAATAATTTGTCATCTTGGATTATTTTTTTATTAACTCAAGAGAAAAGGGTTTGATAATTAGCAATATTATATATGAACTATTAGAATCAATAGCCGTCTGCCGAACCCTTTACCGTTATTTTTATTTTTGAAGTTAGTGTACAAAATGAATGTGCCAGTCTATATGATTCATGGTACAAAAACTATGTAACGTATAAATGGAATCTTACTATAAATACAAATTAAAGGTCTACCAGTACATGAAATGTAATGAAGTTATACACAAAAATAATAAAATCAGGAACCATATTCAGTAGAAAAGTCCCTTAGAATAGTAAACAAAAGCTTACAACGCCAATTTTCTTGCCACATAAATACTGTAAACACTCTAATCCTTTATTTCTTCTATCTCTTATGTTGAATACATTAGATATTAATAATATATTATATTACTTAATAATATTTTTTTTTTGAGTCAAATTGTTACTTAATACCGCAACATAATTAATTAAGGTTAAAATTTCATGTTCAAATCTCATGTCTCTTACATCTTTTTTTTTTTCTTTTTATGTGATCGAGAATGTTTGAGTCAATTTATACACATCTCAACTAATCTTACAGGACCTTGAAACTACTGACTAAACAAGAATTTCAGTGGCTACTCTTATTAGCAACCGATAAGGGATTCGAACTTAGGATCTGTTGAATAATACATTTAAAAGTATTTATCAAACCACTCGATAACTCATGACCTTTTACATCTAATTTCGTCAATCGAATCTTTATTATTTTACCGATTTTAGCTGTCTTAGTAAAATCCCAAGAACAATGTGTAAGATTATGCAATAATAATGATCTAATTTTAAGGAATTATAAAATAGGGCTTGCGTCACTATTTGCAAATTGAGTATGTATCCAAATTTACGATGCTCGGCAACTTGCACATTTTATAGGGTTTGAAGTGCTATACTGCTACACGTCCATTTTGATCAGTTAGTGAAATTAATAAGAGCAGATGACAGATCTTGAAAGGGTCAGAATCAAGGTTAGGGACCTTTTCTTTTTGTGCTTAATTGTGAAATTAATAAGAGCAGATAACAGATCTTGAAAAGGGTCAGAATCAAGGTTAGGGACCTTTTCTTTTTGTGCTTAATTGCTTCTGAGTTTGTGAATGACGCAAGGAGAACCAGTACGTAGTTCACATCTCAAATCTAATTAACTTGTCACTTCCGTGGTTGAGTTGAAAGGTAAATGATAAGTCTTCTTAGTAATAAACACATTAATTTGTACAAAGAGTATACGTACAGGAATACGGAACATCCAGCTTTTATCTTATTTTTATATTAGTCTTTTTGAAACTTATAATTAAACCCTTTGCCCCAAGAGTAATATGAGCAGGATTTCAAGACTTCAGTCACTCTCCAAGGAACTGCACCCACTAAAATAGTTGGTAGTAAAAGAAACACCACACTGTTCTTGTTTATTATATTAAAAGCTGTTCTTACTTTCTGGATTAATCTTAAGTTGAATATATGGATAAATTGTCTGGGAATCATTGGAATCTCTATTTGTGGTTGGACTATGTGTTATCGATGAATCTAGCAAATGTGTTGTGAGGTAGTTATGAAACAAGCTCTTATTAATTGATTTACTATTATTTTTAACGTAAAGGACCATAAAGCTTAATTTCTTGCAACTTCCAAATAGTACTGGTCATGTAGATGATATAATTAGATTGAGTAAAAAATAGTCAAATTTGTACAAAATGATGACAATTGAAGGATACAAGGATCGAGAATTTCATAAATTATTGACTACAGCCTTGACATGAAAAGGGTAGTTTTTTTTGCGTAAATTTCTCAGAACATGCAACAGGTCGCTATTTGATTCAACAAGGGTGGGCGGAGTCATGATCACTCTCTTTTACTATTACTATACTAGCTTGTGCGTGAAAACACGTGATTCTGAACAGCCGGAGTTCGATGTTATATTGAAATAGCCACATTCAATCAATAAAACATAAAAATATGCTTATATGCTGGGACGTCTTTGAGTGCTACTTTGCAGTGAAATTTGTAAAGCGTCCTCAGTATTTCACTGGTATTCATACAATGTAACTTAACACCAGAAGAAGTCGACAAAATGAGCAACGTTTTCTCTCATTTCTTTGATTGTCTCAATTGCAATACAAGTTCCAAGAATGATTCATTGTATATCAACACCGTTAAATTCCTGCAAATTCAGATTGATCACAAATATAATTTCTTGTATAGGGTTAATCCCTATGCTGTTATGCACCCCATGAGACTCAAAGAAAACTTGTCGTCCCCACCAACTCCGAAAATTATCACTTAAACCCCCTACTATTACTTCGATACTTTCTATACCCTAAAAGTTAATGAAGAGAAGAGTGAAATATATATTTTAACAGTAAATATAACTTTTATATAAAAAAATATATAAAAAATATAAAAATTAAACCTCAAAGACTGGCATAACGGTCTAAAATGTTTGCTCTCTTTATTAACTTTTGAGTTCTAACCTTGGGGTCATCTACCACATTTGTAACTTACTTTGAAAAATTTAACTTGTAAGACGTTCAATAGACCCCGAAGATTCTAGTCGAGATGCATGCAAATTAGCCCGGACATAAAAAATAAATAAATAAATAAATAAATAAAAATAAAAATTAGCACCATGGCTGATCATAACTTGATGGTCACACTCACAAGCACTGAAATATCTGCTGAAATATTAAATATAAAGAATTGTCTTAAACGTTAGAAGATAAAAAATTTAGCATTTTTGTTTTTTATATAAAACATATATAT